GATGCGAAGAGCTGACTCATTGGAAAAGACCCTGATGCTGGGAGGGATTGGGTGCAGGAGGAGAAGGGGGCGACAGAGGATGAGATGGCTGGATGGCATCACCGACTCAATGGACATGAGTTTGAGTAAACTCTGGGAGTTGGTGATGGACAGGGAGGCCTGGTGTGCTGCAGTTCATGGGGTTGCAAAGAGTCGGACATGGCTGAGCAACTGAAGTGACTGAACTGAAGTATATGAAACCGTAGAGCAGAAAGTTCATACCCAGGAGCCATGCACCTGAGCCATGTGCTTCCAATCTCAGGCTGCTGTTTCGCAGCTGTGTGACTTTGGGCAGGTTATGTATCCTTTTAGTGCCTGTCTCCTTATCTGTAAAATGGGCTGGGTAATACCTACTTTGTGGGGTTGCAGTGAGGATTAAATGAAGTAATGTAAAATCTTAATTTTCTTTAATGTTTATTTATTTGGCTGCACTGTGCCTTGATTGTGGCATGTGGGATCTCATTGTATCTTGTAGGATGTGGGATCTAGTTCCCTGACCAGGAATCACATCTGGCTGCCTGCCTTGGGAACCTGGAGTCTTAGCCACTGGACCACCAGGGAAGTCCCTCTGAATATTAATCTTATCCTCATCTTTTTAGATGAATTAACTGAGGCTTAGACTTATTTAACCAGCTAGTCAGCTAGTCACAGCTAGCCAGCTAGTCAAGGGCTGGGGTTCATATTAACTGCATGGTCTATCTACTGTGCTGACATGTGTACATGCTTAGTCGTGTCCAACTCTTTGTGATCCCTGGGCTGTAGCCTGCCAGGCTCCTCTGTCCATGGGATTTCCCAGGCAAGAATACTGGAGTGGGTTGCCATTTCCTCCTCCGGGGGATTTTCCCCACCCAGGGACTGAATTCCTGTCTCCTGCATTGGCAGACAGATTCTTTACCACTGAGCCACTTGGGGCAGATGAGGCCCAAAGAAGTAATAAAATGTTTTATGTTAAGGCTTTCTGTTAACATAAAAAAGCTACGCTGGACATTGAGAACCCAGAGGGAGTAACAGTGAATGTGTTTGTGCCTAGGAGATGACTGTAAAGAGCAAATCTGAGGTGAAGGGAAGTAATGGAAAAGTAACTGGAGTGTCTGAAGGTTGGTGTTCGCCCAAGTTAAGGGGTGACTGTCTATGGTAGCCCGTGTTCTCACATTTGGGGCACAACTCACTCCTAGTTCATGAACTTGTCCTTGACTGCTGTGTTTTTGAAAGCCCAAAAGACCATATTCACATTAGGGTATTGCTTCCGGGTCTTCCTCGTGGAGTTAGGACTCAGCTGGACATTAGTGAACAAGGCAGGGCGGTTGCGTTTGGTTCCAAATCCCATGTGGAGGGATTTGCTGCTGTCATTTCTCTTGGAAATTATGTTTTTAAAATTAAGCTCTCTGAGAATAATAGCACCATACACTTCAAATGAATGCGTCAACAATTTCCTCTTTTAATGCTGCTACTTGGGTAATATTTTGATGATCGTCGGGAGCTATTTCACATCTTTATCATTTCTGTGTTCTTCTCCCTTCCTTTTCCACAGTCCTGAATGAGGATTCCTAGAACAAACCCCAAAGAAGAAGACAAGCTGTCAAACAGAGACACGAGTGCACCCTTTGAAAACTAGGAATAAACTAGGAGGAATTGGGAACAAGTAGTGGGGAGACGGTGCCGTGAGTGGAGCATCCTGTCCTACTTGGGCACTTCACCTGCTGTAATGGAGGGGTTATCACATGGAAGCCTTGGAGGGCGCTGTCTCCCTTATTTCTTACCTGCATTCCCCACTTTTGGGATGAGTGTGCTCTGAGAGCAGCATTATCTGGTCTCAAGTGGAGAAAGCTGCGAGATGGTTGAGATTACTGTATAATGTAATATAAACAGTGACTCTGTGGGATCCTTCAAAGCCTTTTTTTCTGGGTGAGAATTTGTACCTCTGTCAGTGCTAGAAGTACAGTTGACACTTCAACAATACAGGTTTGAACTGAAGGGGTTCACTTACACGTGGATTTTTTTTTTTTTCCAATAAGCATTGTGCCTGTATTTCCATTTTATATATCTTTAAATGTGTTGGGAAAAGTTTGGGTTCTGTTAGAGAACACATTACATAGAACCACAAGAACTAGGATTTGAGTCTTGATTCTGTCCAAACTCTTTCAACTTCCTGCCTTTGGGTGAGTCATTTATCAATTTCTTTGTTTTCAAGGTAGAGAGAATAGTATGCAGATTTTCCATTCCTGGGAAGGACTTGCTGCCTTTAACCTCCATTTAGTTCAAGGATCAGTTGTATTTACTGCTTCCTCTTCTGGAAGATGATTGCCTGTGGATCAGCAGAGCAGGAAGGTGTGGCCAAGTCGAGGGGATGGTTGATGTGGGCTTTGGATTTATCCAGGGAGGGTCTGAACTCCAACTGGTCTTCTGATTCCACCTAGAGGTGGGACCTGAATGTGACTAATGGTAGTCTCGGAATCATCCTCTTGGCTACAAGTTGGCAGGCTCCAGAGTTTACTAAGCAACATGAAAGAATCCAGAGTGTGTTTATACACTAAATACATTGCCATCTTTTTTTTTCTAGTGACTTTTTGTTGTTGTTGTTGAATCACTAAGTCCTGTCCTAGTCTTTGAGACCCTGTGGACTGCAACACACCAGGCTTCCCTGTCCTTCACTATCTCCTGGAGTTTCTGTTGACTTATATTACATATACAATAAACTAGCCTTTAGTGTCCATGAGTTTTTACATATGCACCCTTTAACTACAACCCAGATAAAATTAAGAGTATTTCCAAAAGCTCAGAAGGTTACGTGAGGTCTGTTCTCAGTAAATATCATCTTCCAAAGGTAACAAGTGTTTATTTTTCTGTTATAATGGAGAAGGACATTGTATTGTTTCCTGGTGTGGGCTACCATGAGTCAAGCTTCTTTAAATACACTTGAGTGTTTCAATGACGTTCTATTTCTTCTTGCGTTCCTCTTCAGCTCTACCAACCATCTTTCTAAAGTGGCTATTGGCATTGCCACTTCTGTTTTGCTTTTGAAAAAGGCATGTGGTAGAGACATTGACACTTTCTTCCTCCCATAATCCTTCTCACCACAATGCAATTATATTTTTTAAAATTAGAAAAGTATCATATCAACTCATTACAGAACAGAAAATGTTCTACCACATATAAAGCATAGTCAGTTTTTTCCTTATGTGTGTCTACTCCATTTCCCACAGGTTACCAATACTAACCCACTCCAGTATTCTTCCCTGGAAAATTCCATGGACAGAAGAGTCTGTGGACCACAGTCCGTGAGGTCACAGAGTTGGATGTGACTAAGGGATTAACACTTTTACTTTTTACTAGTACTAAAAGTTCAGAGCCTAGATTCACGTGTGTGTGTGTTTTAATATTTGTTTATTTATTTGTCTGCACCAAGTCTTAGTTGTGGCACACGGGAACTTTTAGTTGCAGCATGTGGCATGTAGTTCCCTGACCAGGGATCGAACCCAGAGCCCTTGCACTGGGGGTATGGAGTTTTAACCCCTGGACCACCAGGGAGGTCCCTCACAAGAGTTTCGAATGGATGGCTCCAGTGTCGTCTTGAAACTGTTAAGTAAATATTAACCTTTCTACTTTCTCCTCCATACTGATTTCCTAGACCAGACTTTATGTGTGAGCTTTCCTGAGAAATGAAGGGAAGTCCTTGGTATTTATTAGATAACTTCATTGGTACCATTTTAAATACAAAACTTAGGAATCAGTTGAGTGTCCCTAGAAAATGGATTTAAACATTTTCCTCTCCTGCTCTATTTACCAGACTCTTTAGTTACTAGGTAATTGAAACTGCATTTATCAAAATAGAGAGGTATTAGATTCATTTTTCACTGTGAGTGCTAAACTGTATTGGAATGATGGGCTATTTACCAAAAGCTGTTATCAAGGAACTTGAAAAGCACTTAGCAAAGAGAATTTCAGTGGCCCAAAGGAGTTGGGGAGAAGAATTAAGGTAAAAGGCACAGATTTGCTTTTTAATTTATGAAATAAGGGGTTGTTGGTGTAAATTTTTATATCATACCTGTAGTGACAGTCTTGTGGCCTGCAACCTTGTGAGGTCTTTTATTTTTTTCTCTTCTTTTTCTTTTGATAGAAAGTCATTATATTCTTTTTTTAAAAAAATTTCTTTATGTGTTTGGCTTCACCAGATCTTAGTTACAGCACATGGGATCTTTGCTCTTCATTGTGGCATGTGGGATCTAGTTTCCTGATCAGCATGGAATCTCAGCCACTGGACCCCAGGAATTAATAGATGAAGAATGGGTCACCTCTACCGCCGTGATTTACACTGGATGGAGGAATGAGTACCAAGCATCAGTGACCATCTCCACCCCATCCCTCCCCTTCCAAAGTAACATTCCTTTCAGGAATATCCAAACTGTCATTTAGAGAACTCTTCAAGCCCTCCAAATTTCTATTCAACTATCACTTCGTCTCTTATCCCACACAGATACTTTCATGAAAATCACACTACAAGAATGTCCTAGAGAATCGGGGAGTTCCAAGAACCCTAGAGAACGTATACAAATTACTTTTGCTCCCGTACTCCCTTCTATAGACTCTGGTGACCTTGGGTTCAGATCTGCCAAGGAAAATTGTGACTTATTGCATTTTATGCTCATCTTTTCAGAGTATTCTGCTCCTTGACCGCCTGATAGAAGCACATCTTTTTTTTAAAATTTATTGTTGTCTTTCCCCACTTACTAACTGTACTGGTTTCCCAGGGCTGCCAGAACAAATTACCACAAACTTAGTGGCTTTCTTTTATTTGAGTGACATCCCATTTCATTCAAACTTTTGAACTAAATATTTTAGCACCTTAGAACTTAGAAATGAGTACAGACCTGACTTTGTTGGAGCATCCAAGGTGTCTGCTTTAGTGCAAGGGGATACCTAGAAGGAGCTTTGTCTGCTTTCTTTCGCTGGGCGGGTAAGTGATGGTAGTGGTGGCTGCTGATGGCACCTCTACACACGTGCTAGTCAAGGCTCAGTCGGGGGACAGAAACCACACCGGTTATTGGGACAAAGAGAATTTAACACAAAGAATTGTTAGCTGGGGAGTAAACTTGGTAACTAGGTATGTGAAAAGTGAGAGTGAAAGTGAGGTCGCTCAGTCGTCTCCGACTCTCTGTGACCCGTGGACTGTAGCCCACCAGGCTCCTCTGTCCATGGGATTTTCCAGGCAAGAATACTGGAGTGGGTTGCCATTTCCTTCTCCAGGAGACCTTCCCGACCCAGGGATTGAACCCGGGTCTCCCTCATCATAGGCAGACGCTTTACCGTCTGAGCCGCCAGGGAAGTCCCTGGAAGGGGGAAAAAAGACCCTCGAAATAACATTTGTCACCGTTTATAAAATTGTATACTTTAAATATCTGATGTACAGTTTATGATGTCATTTATACCTCAATTAAGCAATTATCTTAAAAAGGCTTTAATTATTAATAGGAGTATTTAAGAGTTTCAAAACCGACTCTTTCTGGAAGTTGTTACACATTAACCTGTACTGATACTTAGTTTATGGGCTTTCCCGGTGGCTCAGTGGTAAAGAATCCACCTGCCATGCAGGAGACATAGGAACGTGGTTTTGACCCCTGGGTCAGGAAGATGCCCTGGAGGAGGGCATGACAACCCACTCCAGTGTTCTTGCCTGGAGAATCCCGTGGACGGAGAAGCCTGGTGGGCTGCAATCCATAGGGTCGCAAAGAGTCAGACACGACCGAAGCGACCGAGCATGCACGCATGCTTATACTCTTAAACAGTAACTCTGCAGTTGCCATGTCAGTGACTTGCTTCTAAAAATTATTTATTTATTTTTATTTTTGACTGCCCTGGGTCTTCATTGCTGCGCAGAGGCTTTCTCTAGTGAATGGGGACTACTCTTTTTTTGCGGTGCTGTGGCTTCTTATTGTGGTGGCTTCTCTTGTTTCAGAGCACAGGCTCTAGGTTCTCCGGCTTCAGTAGTTGCAGCTCGCAGGCTTCGTTGCTCCGTGGCATGTGGAATCTTCCTGGACAGGTATCCAACCCGTATCCAACCCGTGTTCCCTGCGTTGGCAGGCAGGTTCGTATCCACTGTGCCACCAGGGAAGTCCCGGTGACTTGCTTTCATGTGGAGTTTTTCTACCCATCTACTCTTAGGTAGGAATGCTCCCTAGCATTGTTCTTCAACTCTGTTCCCAGTGAAACTTCTCTTCCTGACAGGATTTTTGCAGCCCTTGTAGCCTCATATGATGTTTAGAGGGTGAAGCATTTTATTAATTCCTAGCATTCTCACCAGCCAGGTCAATGGAAAGAAGGATGGAGAAGAGAATAGTCTGCTATGCTACGTTATGACTAAGTACACGACCCATAGGGTGATGTTTGCTCTCAGCTTTCCAGCACTGCGTTCTTTGTAATGGTGCAGCATCTTGTACCTGAAAACCTTCCAGATCTCTCATGAAATATTTGATTTTATAAAATCCTTGTGGAGAAAAGCTGTAACAATCAAGACTTGCTGATTAAAAATGAGGTCAACAATAGAGTTTTAGAGTCTTTTTTTAATCTTTGTATTTGTTAAATAATTCAAAAAGTATCTAGTGGACACCTATATGCCAGGTACACTAAGTTGTTTTATACTTCTAGAGCTTTTTTATTCAAAGTGTGTTTAGCAGAACACAGCACCAGCATCACCTCGGAGCTTATTAGAAATGCAGACTCATAGTCCTCCTCCAGACATGGAGAGTCAGCATCTGCATTTTAACAAGATCCCTTAGTTACGTGTGTGTATTCAAAAGGCGCTATTTGAGAGAGTCCTCCTTAGCTCTACTGCTTAACTACTGCTATGACTTTGAGAAAGTAACTTCACTTCTCTAAGATATTTACAAATGAGGGGTTGGAAGTAATGGAAACCTCTTCTTCATGTATTATTTGCTGTTGTTCAGTTGCTAAGTCATGTCCAATTCTTTGCAACTGCATGAACTGCAGCAGATCAGGCTTCCCCTTCCTTCACCATCTCCCAGAGTTTGCTCAAACTCATGTCCATTGAATCAGTGATGGTATCCAGCCATCTCATTCTGTCACCCCCTTCTCCTCTCGCCCTCAATCTTTCCCAGTGAGAGGGTAACAGGAGGGAAGGCCAGGAGTCTCTGAATGGAGGAAATAGGCTGCAAGTGTCAGACATTTTTTATCTCTCCCTTAAGCTGCAGGAAGAAACAAACTACAAGTGTCAGATATTTTTCCTCTTAAAATTCTGTGTTGCCATGACAACACCTGTTTCCACCTGAACTTAACTTTTCTCAAACCTTGAACTAACCAATGTGTTTTTCTTATGGATATATTGTTCTTAAGCTATGTTAATCAAACTTTTCTCAAACTTTGGGCTGATAATAGCTCAACAAACCAGAATTCATATCAATTGTTTTATGGCTGGGGGATGACACACCTCCTGCTATACTATCTCAAAAATGCAGACTGTGGGAGAGGGGCCTGAGCCTTGAGGTGTCTCTCTTATCTGGGTAATAGCCTCATAACAGACATAAAACATCCAGCTAAAGACTATCACGGGGGCACTCTTTCTGTCCGCTTCTGATGTCTATGTCAGAAGCTTTCTCTCTTTTATACTTTCAGTTCAGTTCAGTCACTCAGTCGTGTCCAATTCTTTGTAACCCTATGGACTGCAGCACACCAGGCCTCCCTGTCCATTACCAACTCCCGGAGCTTACTCAAACTCATGCCCATTGAGTCGGTGATGCCATCCAACCATCTCATCCTCTGTCATCCCCTTCTCCTCCCACCTTCAATCTTTCCCAGCATCAGGGTCTTTTCAAATGAGTCAGTTCTTTGCATCAGGTGGCCAAAGTATTGGAGTTCCAGCTTCAGCATCAGTCCTTCCAATGATTTCCTTCAAGACTGATTTCCTTGAAATCCTTCAAGACTGATTTCCCTTAGGATGGACTGGTTAGATCTCCTTGCAGTTCAAGGAACTCTTAAGAGTCTTCTCCAACACCATAGTTCAAAAGAATCAATTCTTTGGCTCTCAGCTTTCTTTATAGTCCAAATCTCACATCTATACATGACTGTTGGAAAAACCATAACTTGGACTAGATGGACCTTTGTTGGCAAAGTAATGTTTCTGCTTTTTAATATGCTTTCTAGGATGGTCATAACTTCTCTTCCAAGGAGCAAGCATCTTTTAATTTCATGGCTGCAGTCACCATCCACTGTGATTTGGAAGCCCAGAAATGTCTGTCACTGTTTCCACTGTTTCCCATCTATTTGCCATGAAGTGATGGGACCAGATGCCATGATCTGGGTTTTCTGAATGTTGAGTTTTAAGCCAACTTTTTCACTCTCCTCTTTCACTTTCATCAAGAAGCTTTTTAGTTCTTCACTTTCTGCCATAAAGGTGATGTCATCTGCATGTATGAGGTTATTGATATTTCTCCTGTCAATCTTGATTCCAGCTTGTGTTTCATCCAATTCAGCATTTCACATGATTTACCTGGAGAATCCCATGGACAGAGGAGCCTGGTAGGCTACAGTCCATGGGGTCGCAAAGAGTTGGACACGACTGAGCAACTAATGTACATGTGTGTGCATGCATGCATGCACACACACACACTGCATATAAGTTAAATAAGCAGGGTTACAATATATAGCCTTGATGTACTCCTTTTCCTATTTGAAACCAGTCCATTGTTCCATGTCCAGTTCTAACTGTTGTTTCCTGACCTGCATACAGATTTCTCAGGAGGCAGGTCAGATGGTCTGGTATTCCCACCTCTTTCAGAATTTTCCACAGTTTATTGTGATCCACACAGTCAAAGGCTTTGGCATAGTCAATAAAGCAGAAGTAGATGTTTTTCTGGAACTCTCTTGCTTTTTAGATGATCCAACAGATGTTGGCAATCTGATCTTTGTTCCTCTGCCTTTTCTAAATCCAGCTTGAAAATCAGGAAGCTCACGGTTCACATACTGTTGAAGCCTGGCTTGGAAAATTTTGAGCATTACTTTGCTAGTGTGTGAGATGAGTGCAATTGTGCGGTAGTTTGAGCATTCTTTGGCATTGCCTTCTTTGGATTGAAATGAAAACTGACCTTTTCCAGTCCTGAGGCCACTGGCATATGAGTACAGCACTTTCACAGCATCATGTTTCAGGATTTGAAATAACTCAACTGGAATTCCATCACCTCCACTAGCTTTGTTCGTAGTGATGCTTCCTAAGGCCCACTTGACTTCAAATCCCAGTATGTTGGCTCTAGGTGAGTGAACACAACATCATGATTATCTGGGTCATGAAGATCTTTTTTTTGGTTCTTTTGTGTATTCTTACCACTTCTTCTTAATATCTTCTGCTTCTGCTTCTGTTATGTCCATACCTTCTCTGTTCTTTATTGTGCCCATCTTTGCATGAAATGTTCCCTTGGCATCTCTAATTTTCTTGAAGGGATTTCCAGTCTTTCCTATTCTATTGTTTTCCTCTATTTCTTTGCACTGATCACTGAGGAAGTCTTTCTTATCTCTCCTTGCTATTCTTTGGAACTCTGCATTCAGATGGGAATATGTTTCCTTTTTTCCTTTGCTTTTCACTTCTCTTCTTTTCATAGCTGTTTGTAAGGCCTCCTCAGACAATCATTTTGCCTTTTTGCACTTCTTTTTCTTGGGAATGGTCTTGATCACTTCCTCCTGTACAATGTCATGAACCTCCATCCATAGTTCTTCAGGCACTCTGTCTATCAGATTTAATCCCTTGAATGTATTTGTCACTTCTACTGTATTGTTGTAAGGGATTTTATTTAGGTCATACCTGAATAGTCTAGTGGTTTCCCCTACTTGCTTTAAGTCTGAATTTGGCAATAAGGAATTCATGATCTGTGCCACAGTCAGCTCTTGGTCTTGTTTTTGCTGAGTGTATAGAGCTCCTTCATCTTTTTCTGGAAAGAGTATAATCAATCTGCAAAGAATATAATCAGCTTTATACTTTGGTAAAGCTTTATTACACGAAAGCTCTGAGCAATCAAGCCTTGTCACTGGCTCTGGATTGAACTCCTCTCCTCCAGAGGCCAAGAATCTCAGCGCCTTTCATGGCTCAGCAACAACCTATGTCCTTTGGGGCTCGTCCAGGGTCTTCAGGACAAGGTAAGAACACTCAAGACCTCAAGCCTCTCTGCTTCCTCAGTACACGATTCTCTGCTTTGCTTCAACGACTCTGTGGTGTGCTTGTGTCAGTCAACGAGACACCTCGCACAAAGCAACAGTTAAGACCTGCTCTGTGGTTCCGAGCTGTCGTAAT